GCCAGCTTTAGAGGCAGGGACCATGCTTTGCAGATACGTCAGTATAGGCTCTTTCAGACAGCTGGCAGTGCTTACCATTTGTGGTGGATTGCTTGTCAGATGGAGGTAAAGCAGTGGCTAGCAGGTGTTCAGGAGGTGATACTGCCTCCGGATGTCTGTTTTTTTTTTACTTTTTTTTTCTTAATTGCTGAACAACAATGTTTAGCGTTTAACTCGCATTCCAGCCTCAATGATCTCAGTGAGCAAGTTTGGCAAGCGGTGCCACATGACAAACTCTGCAGCCCCAGTTAAAAAATGCTGCAGCTAGGACACACAGCATCATGGCTACAGCATGTGTACAGCCCTGTCAGGCTGTAAAGTTAGAATTCCGGTAGGCAGTCGTGGGCTTCCAAAACCATAACTCAGCTGCCTGTTTTTTTCCCAGCCACTCATGTTAAAGAGCCATTATGTTTAACTTTGGAAGAGATATATACATTTTAGAAGAGACTTATAGGAAATATTTACACGTATATTGGATATCAGTGGAGCACGGCACTAATTTCTTGTATTTGTATATTTTAATGCTGTTCTTCTTTATGATAAGCTTAGATAAGTTCTCCTGGGGATTGGTTTGATGCAGAAACTTCTTTACATGTCCTTGTTGCTGATTTCCTACCTTCACTGAATATGTTATCTATCTTCTGCTTCACTCAGTAGTTGCTCTGAAATAGTCTCTTAATTTTCAAATCAAACCGTTAATTCTCTTTGGTTTCCTGTTTGTAAGACCGGTGGCTGCTTTGCCTGCTATTCCCCCAGTCACTGGTCTTGGCATATCCCTTCTGTAGTTCTTTCTCCAGGAAGCAGTGATGTAATTCAGCCCCACTTGCAGTGGTGAGTGGACTGGGAGTCTTAGACACATTCAACATGTACAGGTCTAGTGTACCCTCCAACACTCACTACAATTCCCTGTGGTTGATGGGAACTGTAGTTTCCTTTTACTGCAGAGAGAGAGCAGAGGATATGTTATAATCTCTGCTGTTACACCTCCTCCTTGACAGAGCAGATGCTGTTATCTTTTGAATTACAGAGATGAGGTCATGAAAATTCAATTAGGCTTTTCTCCTAAATGGTAAAGATTTTCAAAATTTCTATTACCTGTTTAGTGTTTTGTGTAAGGGGTATACTAATAGGTTATTTTTTTTACTATCCTGGAGTTCTTCTAAGAGAAAAATGTAACAAATTTACTGAAGGTGAAACACAATACAGTGCATACCAGTTGCAACACGACCTAACCCTAACTATCTGTATAGTGGCTGCTCAGACATACCTTTAGAAGTGATAGTCCATACTTGACAGTTCTCTGTTTGGACAGCATCTTCGGGCAGACTTCAGGGCCCAGCAGTCCCCTATGGAGAATGGCGTTATGGCATTCCCATGCCGGGACTGCACCACAGTCCAAAACCAGGCATGACTTCAGCAAGCAGCAAGAACACAGACAAATTCTTCAAGGAAGGACTCCCAATTGCCCCTTGGCACTCGGCATTCTTCCCTTACATTAGAAGCACAGGGTGGGTGGGTTGGGTCCAAAAGGCCAAAAGGTTTAACCTCTTCCCCTAACCTAGGTCAGCCACACTACACTAACTACTGTAGGCAACCTACCTACACATCCTGTATAATATTATGTAGTGGAAGAGTTTTTTTTTTAATGATTGTGATGAGGTTTACATGTGTTAGTAAGACTCTTGATTGTGGCACAGCAATCAAAGCATATTATATAGGTACAAGGAAGCACCAAATTTGTTTAATCCCCTTCTGCTGTTGTTTGGCCACACTCACTTTTTGCTGCAGGTTATGACCGATCTTAAGTGTCCCTCATTATCAGGTCCTAAGGTGGGAGGTATGTAATAAAGTTTTATGATCTTTTCTTGGATAACAATCCAGCCTGAACAACTATAAAATCAACAAGTGAAGGTACATAAAAAACTGTATATTTAAACTGCTACACGTATGTGTTTTAAACACATACGTGTTAAAAATCAAAACCTTTTGGGACAGTCGTCTTTAAAAAAAACAACAACATTTTAAACTATATTAATGGGACACAGCTACAGACAGGAAGCAAAATAAGACATGGCAGATTGAAAAAAAGTCAGATAGTCTGGATTGTTAGGTGAACCTATTCTTCCAACACTAAAAGCACACGTTAATTACAGACATCACTCTTTTCAATGCAGTCCTCCAGCAGCTTGGCACTAAGAAGCATAAATCATTGTCATGTTGTAGATAGTTCCCTATTAGTTACAGTCAAAACCAAGCCAATCTGACATTTTAAATGGAAATTCAAAAGTTAGCTAAAGGAGCAGCTTTGTAAAGGAAATAAGAAGTTCAAGTTATCAGCGGTTTGTGTCTCTTCAGAATTCGTCTTCGATAACTATCATGGTGAGAAAGATATGCATTTATCTGCAGCAGCCGCATTTGATTACTGTTGTTTACTGCTGTTTCTTGCTGTTTGCAATGCTAATAAATTGAACTTGTGCTTTGTCCATGCAAAGCAAAGTAACTGGTTCACTTAGCTGCCTTCTCCCCTCTCCCACTGCCGATCTTCAGCTATTGTTCTTCCTCTGTTGGCCCACTTGGCATTGGAGCTCTCGCAAAAGCCACGTGTAAGCTCTAAATTGGTCTGATACACAAGGCTAAGGATGATCCCTTTGCCCCTACATGACAGTGCTCACACATCTTCATAGGGGGAAGTAGTCAGTGCCCCATACCCAGGATTACAGGGTATTTCACTTCACTCCAGCAGATGAACTCCATTGGGGATGCAAAACGATCTCGATTTGAATTCAAAAACTACTTTTATGGTAAAATTAAACATCACTTCCCATTTAATTGTCTGAAATGCTGATTTCCGGTGCATATGTTGATGCAGCACCCATACATCACTGTGCTCTCGTGTGTATGCAGCAATACAAACTATCTCCCAGCATTCCTTGCACATATATACAATGGGGAAAATAATTATTCGATCCCCTGCAGATTTTGTAAGTTTGCCCACTTACAAAGAAATGATGGGTCTATAATTTTATCATAGGTGTATTTTAAATGATAGAGACAGAATATCAACCAAAAATCCAGAAAAAAAAACACAATACAAATGTTATAAACAGGGTTGCAGTTCAGTGAGTAAAATAAGTACTTGATCCCCTACCAACCAACAATATAAAAATTATAGACCCTTCATTTCTTTGTAAGTGGGCAAACTTACAAAACCTGCAGGGGATCAAATAAATATTTTCGCCACTGTAGAGGTACAGGTTTGTCTAGAATGTGATGCTGTAATCCAGCTGGGGATTGCAGCTTAAAGGATGGCAAGGTAAAAGTAGTAAAAACCTGACAGGTGTTCTAACTCTACCATTCTATACGAAACTATTCAAAAATGGGGCTGGCTATATACTACAATATGCATATTGCTTGACATAATACATACATTTTCATAAACACCAGTGGTGGCTAACTTAAAAATAATGGAGGTCCACGAGTGCAGTCACAGACGATTCCAATAGCAGTACGTTTTCATATATTGAGGTGCTTGCATTGAATTTGGCAGCCCATTCAAAGTGAATGAGTGGCAATGCACCTCAATGCCTCAAAACATTCAGTTGTGCTGCAGATGGACAGGTAAGTGTGTGTTTGTAGCTGCTGATTTGTAATAAACACAAAAACGGCTTGATCTCTGCTTTAACATCCTACCCAAACTTTGCATTTGTGGTCATTGCAGTTACAGTGAAATGTAGCACTGAAATGTGGAGCACTGCAGGCCTGTACACTTAATATCCAGGACAGCATACATAATGGGGTTTGCATGATTATGGGATATTATGGGATATAGAAAGCAGCCCAATCTCACTGGGAATATTTGTGAGCAGACAGCACACTAGATATGAAAAAAGCAGCTGAGAAAAAAAGTATGAGATGGCTAATAAATGGGGCATTGCATTGTTTTTTACAGATGCTGATGAGTGGAGGACTACATATAAATGACCCTTTAATCTTTGGATAACAGGAAATTCCATGTGTAGAAAGTTAATGGAAAGAGATTAGTTGTCTTTTCATCCCAAGGAAGAAGGAGGATTTATGTAGAGCTCTGTGTATGAAAACCAATGCTCAATGGGGTTGATTTCCATGCAGTTAGTTTCCATAAATTATTTTTGTTCACTCACAAAGTCCACCTACTCAAAAAATTGATTACTCCAGGAGAATCATTTCCCTAATTCCCTAGCATAGCCTCCTCCTTCCTTGCACATCATGGCCCTCTTAGAGTGTCTAATTACTGTCTGTGCAGACCCAGCTTCTCCATCTCCCCCCTCACATCCTATATAACCATTTGTGTAGTAGCCATAAAAGATTGAAGGAGAATACTATAGAGAACCCTTTCTCAACCATGGTTTCCATGGAAGCTTAGCATTCCTGCAGAAGCTGTTAGGGGGTTTCTAGAACACTGAGCAATTTCTACTTTTCAGAAAACTGACCACTGACATAAATATTTTTTTTTTACCTATCTGTTGGGGGAGGTTCTTCCCAATGACCACAAATATAAGGAACAATCTTCCCACTGACCATCATGCTAATCTACAATGAGCTGTAGTTAAAGTAATTATTTCCAAAGGTTCCCTGAGACTGGAAAGTTGTTTCAAGGGTTTCTCTGTGTTACTTGAGTGACAGCTCTAAGTCTGTTGGTGCTGCTGACATCACTTCCATTATGTTGGTTCCCATAAGGGCTTTTGGGTGAAAATGCCTAAAACAGATTAAATACACCCATAATCTCAATGGAAAATTGGAATCGAAAGGAATGATCTGGTGGCAGGGACACTTTAATAATTTGCTCCTGTATGACATCCTCCCACCTTTTCATTCTAATAGATTTTTTTGTATCTTTAGCCAAAGTGGTAGATGTGATTCTTTCAGAGCTGCATCCACACCTGTATGTGGCTCTTTATTGCCATATGATTTGAACAACCTACCTGAACCATGTAAGGTCACAACCAGGGGTGGACTGACCATTTGGAAACTCGGGCACTGTCCGAGGGCCCGGGGTCAGTAGGGGGCCCCATGAGATGCCCCTGGTACCTTTTTCAGAGGCTTTTTTGAGTTTGGGCAAGGACACAGGCCCCATGATCCCCTATTGCCCGGGGCCCCCATGAGTTGTCAGTCCTCCCCTGGTCACAACTGTTTCAAATTGAGCCATCTGCATCAGCTAAGAAGGGCAGATCCTTAGCAGTCACATTTGGAGATGTATTGGCAGTGGAAATCAGACTGCATACATTGTAGTGTTTTGATTCTTCCGTATTAAGGTGATGCTGCTAAATTGAGAGTGTAGCAAGATTCCTATTTTGGCTGCTAATCAGCTTCATTACCCAATACATATTTAAAAGCAGCATCTAGAGCTGGCAGCTAGAGAAAACACATTTGTATACAGTGTTTAATACCAAGATGCTTGCATGATGAAATACCAGTTTCATGACCAAAGAGATGTTTATTAAATTTTGTTTCTAGGGCAAAAGCTGTGGATGAAAATATTAAGCAAGACAAACACTGGCTCACATATAAATATTTCACAGCTGTGAATTTCTAATGATGGGTTCCTGGACCATAAGTAGTTATATCATTATGGTTTAGTATGCATTCATTGATAAAACTTCTCAGCATAGATATGCAAATCTTAACATCACACTGCCTTTTAATTTGTTTGGCTTAAGATCTACATTACTTGATTACTATATGATTTATAAGGGGCCTTTCAGGTTACAAATATGGAAAATGGCATTGCTAAAGGCAACCAGGGGGTTTGATGTCAATTAAAGTCTAAAATTTGCCAGTCTGCCAACTGCCAAACCTCATAGGGCTCATGCACAGGCCTGCAAAAAATGCAGCATTTATCTCCAATCGCAGGTGTGTGGTGTGCTATGGCCCCGTGCATGCTTAATGAGCAATAATGTGCACTGCTTTCAAAACATAAAAATCTACATCCACGGTTCTGCATATGGACCATACCTTTTATTGTATGCGTGCAAATGTTTGTGCTAACATTTACATATGTACAGTGTCAATGTGCTTTATTGGAGTGCAGGAGCTGCCGGGTCATTTGCATCCTTGAAAAGGAGAAATTTTGGTGGCAAGAGCCACCTAGCAATGAGGAATGCTATTCAGCAATAGCTGCCTGCATCCTAGCAATAAAGGATGCTAGGTGTCAGGAACTGCCTGCTTTCTAACAACAAAGGTTGGTAGGCAGCAATAGCTACCTGAATATTAAAAACAAAGAATGCTGCATCCTAGCAATGAAGGATGCTAGGTGGCTGAAGCTGCCTGCATTGTAGCAACAGAAGGAAGCTAGACACTTTCCTTCTATCAATAGTTTGAAATCCATGTTGCAGGCACCTCTGATTACACATTGTTGGCCTTGAGAAGTAGTGGGGGCCAACAGAGCCAATTTACACTGTAAAGTGTTGCTTCAATGTAATACAAGCAATGTGTGAGCATTTTTCAAATGTTGCACACAGAGATCCTGTTACACAGGATCTGGCTGTCAGATTCTGTCAGCCAGATCCTGCATACTATTTGCCGTATTTTCATTTGGCCATGTGCATGAAGCCTCTCCAGTGTCTCCCATGTTGTAAGTGGGCAGTGTGTGAATTCAGGCAATATAAATTCTAGTTGGTAGGTTGGGCACAGCTGGAGGCTTAAGCAGCATGTTTTGAAATTGTGGGAGGAGCCAAGAAAATGTGGAGGTAATACAGGCAAACATCAGACTCCATGCAGATGAGTGAAGGCCTCCCTCCCTGTTCACACATCAGATACTGTCCAGATAAGGAACGGGAGGGGAGATTGGTGGCAGTAGGTGCGGCCTTTAGCGTGGCTTCTTTTCTTCTGAGGGGACTCAAGTAGCAGAATTGTAAGGATGTTCAGGACCTATTTGAGAAACAGGAGCAATTTTGTTCCAGAATTTATATTTCATCTTCTGCTCCTTCTCTTCAGACAAATGGGCAAATAGCACAGGTAACCCCACTCTGGGCCAAACACCAAGAGTTTCAGAATAATAGAGTCAGACAACAACCTTGTTCTGCTATGTGATACTTGGTTCTACCCACCATTCAGCTGTTTTTCTGAAACCTGTTGTTACATGCCTTTCTGCTTTCAGTTTAACTGTTTATTTAGCTGCTTGGCCTGATTTCAGTTTTAACTAAAGTCATGTTCAAAGTTTAAACTTGAAAGTAGGAAATAACCTTAAAAAGTACCAGTCACAAATGGGCCTCTGCAGATATGTAAATGATCGGTCCTAAATTGCTGTATGTGTGCATACCAGACGTGCGGCAGACCTTTCAGCCACCCCCTACCCCCAAAAATGATCCACGATAGATTGATTTTCAGATGCATTTGACTTTGGTGTGGAGGTGAAATGTTGCCTTCTCACTGCCTCTTTTTACCTCTTGCTAACTGTGCTATAGCTGAATGATGGTGGTTGTCCAGTTCTGGGAAGGTGTCAAATGACATCCTCCCAGAACGTGCCCTCCTGCGCGCCCCCAGCGGCACGCACCCAGTGATCTCCGTGATCGCTGTGTCCTACAGACACAGCTGATCATGTGATGTGGTAGAAGGCCAATCACAGTGGTGTTTTACCATGTAATCAGCTGTGTCCAATGACAGAGCAGATCACTGGGTAAATGCAGATGCCGGTTATCGGCTGCACTTTCCTCACGCTGTTACAGCGTGAGGAAAGTACTGTTGATAACCAGCAATTGTCAGAGAACAGATTGGCACTGATCATCAGGGCACAGATGATCAGTGCCCAGCAGTGCCGCCCAGTAGTGTCGCCCACCTGTGTCGCCCCACCTGTGCCCAGCAGTGCCACCCACCTGTGCCACCCACATGTGCCCATCAGTGCCACCCACTACTGCCCCTCTGCCATTCAGTGCCTGCCCATCAGTGCTGCCTATTGGTGGCCATCATTGCCGCCTCATCAGTGCCAGCCCATCAGTGCTGCCTATCAGTGCTGCCTTTCCATGCCACCTCATCATTGCTGCCAATCATTGCCTATCAGTGCAGCCTCATCATCGCACATCAGTGAAGAAGAAAAATATTACCTGTTTGCGAAATTTTATAATAGAAACAAAGAAAATATTTTTTTTGTGCTTTTTTTTGTTCATAGTGCAAAAAATAAAACCCCCAGTGGCGATTAAATACCACCAAAATAAAGTTCTATTTGTGAGAAAAAAAATGATAAAAATGTCATATGGGTACAGTGTTGCATGACCACGCAATTGTCATTCAAAGTGCGACAGTGCTGAAAGCTGAATAGTGGCCTGTGCACAAAGGGGGTAAAAGTGCCCGGTAGGAAAGTGATTAACCTTGTAAGTGGCGCAACTCTGCGCAGCAACCATGTATATTGCACGTGATTACATGGGGTTTGTGGAGCAGCCATGTTTAGTGGCGGTACTTCCCACTGACATTACAGGCCTCGTGTGGCTGCCTTTGCAGCTTATAGGGAAGGGGTGTAGCTGCCTAATATTTGCTGCCCTGTTAACTACATGACATCATACACTGTCCCCCCTATAGCCACAGGTAACGGACACTGATAATCACTTTTCAGGAGTTTCTCATCATTGAAACCTAAACTGAAGCATGTAAAGTTAATTAGATTCAATCCCAAACAATAAATTACATATAAGCCTTTGCAGGTTAATGTAATTTCAATAATCGAATACTAAACAGTACTCACATCTAGGGCCATATGTGTTGAGGGATGTTTGCCCCAAACAGCAGATTCCTGCATACACAGCATACATCCCTTAGTGCATACAGCTCTAAATGTGAGTCTGCTTGCTTGGTACAGCATCCAGCCGTAATTTTTTTGTTCAGCTTGTCATAGATTTTGACAGGCTGCTGGCACAGGGGCTGCACACTGCACCTGTGCCTCCTGGGTGCCAGAAAATGCTGGTATTTGATGCTGAGGGGCAAAATCATCCATGTGCATGAAGCCTATGAAATAACTTAGTTCTCTAGAAAACAAAGGACATAAGAAAAAAGCCTCAGTAATTCAAGATTTATTACCGGCTGGAGAGCCCCCTGTATATTTGGGCACAGGACATGTGCCATTTTTGTCAGTATGCTGATTTTAATGTTAGCACAGAAGTGTACATCAAAACGTGTCCACCTTTATTATATTAATCAATGCAACAGTATTGTAAGCAGGTTGAAACGGCTTTATAAGTTACCTAGTTACTGGCCAAGGCTGGGTGGGGAAAGAGTTAAGCTCACTGTCACCCAGTGCACTGGCTTTTTGCAGCCACCTGTGATAAAAAATTGGGGAAAGCTGAGATCCGAGAGCCCCTAGGGAACCCTGTAGAGCCCTCTGAGAGTCATTGTATGTTCCGGTGCTGTGCTACTGTTCCAGTGTCCAGGAGAAGCCCAAGCCATCTTCCTACTACACTGAGAGCCCCATGATGCCACCATCTATGGACTATATGCCCCCAACTATGGGCTGTGTAACATCTATGGACTCTGTCTCAATAAACTGTCACCTGCATTATATGCCTGGGCCATCTATTAATCAGGGTTATTGATGGAACCCTTGCACTTTTTATTCACACACTACTATCTTATCTACTTTTTATCGCACTGCTAACGAACAGTAAAGACTGTTAAACCATGTCCTTGAGCCTGGTCTGAAGTTAAGCAAAAGGGCGCATAATGGGGCTGGCATTTACAAAAAATGCCTGGGCCTGTAATAGCACTAGAGAGTTATGAAGAATATGAAATTACAATGTCAAGTCAGTATACTAAGGAATAGCAAGATTGTTGCTAATGGTAAGCAAGTATATACAGTCAAGACACCAAGCAACCGGTGGAGGTGTGGTACCTACATAAGGTGAGTTGTCCTCAGTAGCAAAAGAATTTCTATTTGGGCTTCCTCCCTAGCAGTCCATCTCTCATAGCAACTGAGAGCAGACCAGCATTACAGAGGTCTTCAGCCTGCACTGTACCGAACAGGTACAGTTAATACAGGACACGCATGAGCAGGGCTGCTGTTAGAAATGACGGGGCCCAGTACAGCCAATGTAACAAGACCCCCATGTAAACACAGTTGACTATGCTTCAGTTATGAATGAACATAGTGAGTGATCAGTACTGATCACCATTGTGTTCA